ACCGCCATCTGGGCTAGACGGTGCGCAATCCGGTGTGTCAGCGGAGACCCTAAAGCGGCCCGGTGACGGGAAGCGGCAGAGGTCTGCCGGTGGGACACCGGAGGGCGCATCCTCGCGGAAGAAGCCTCGCACTGCGGCGCATGCGCAAATTAGTTATGCGCGAGCGTCCCAAGCGGGTCTCAGGGTGGCCGTCGTGTCCGACGGTTATCCTGGGACTCAACTTACTAATGTACAGGTGCAGCAGGTCCAGGAGGCGGTCAGTGTGCTGATAGATGGGATCCCAGATGAGGTGACCCTTCCCAGGTACATTGACTGCTACCTCTCTCGAGGGGCAGCCATCTTTGTCTGCGAGGACGAATCCTCTAGGGCATGGTTGGAGGCCCACGTGGGGGATCTGCGGCCGTGGGAAGGCGCAAGGCTCATTACGATGAGCTTTGGAGACCTTCCCATATACCACCGCGTGATGGCCTGGTTTCCGGGTCCCAACCTGGACAACGAGGTCATCACGAGGAGACTCAGGAGGCACAATCCTGGGACTTTTCCCAGCGCGTGGAGGCTACTTGAGAGGAAGGAAGAGCCGATAGGTGTCCGACTTGTCCTCTCAGTTGATTCCATAAGCTGGAAGGTCATTGTAGGTAACGGCAACAGGCTGTGTTGCGGTGGAAGTTCGGGGGTGTTTACACTCCTGAGCAAGAAGAAGAGCAGTGGAGCGACACCTGCTGGAACTGGCCTGACTCCAAACCAGGAGACGGACCAGCCCAGACCGACGGGAGCTGTGGCGGTAGACCAGGCTCCTTCACAGGGGATGGGTCGGCCGGGTCAGCTCTCGCTGGAGCCACCGGAGGCTACGGACGTGGAGGCGGCGGGTCCAAGCGGGATATCCGCAGAAAACATCGTGGCGGACCCTGCGATGGATCTGGTCCCAGAGGGAAACGATAGCGACTCGGACGAGGATGGAATCCTGAACCGAGTCCGAGAACTCCTCCGTGGAAGCGGAGATGAAGGCGGCTGTGGCAGCGATGACTGCGGCGGCGACGGCGGTACGCCCGAATAGGGGTTACATACCGTCATTCGGGAAGGTGTAGGAAGGGCCTCTCAACATCCATGGTAAGTTCTAATTTCATCCAAATTAACTTACAACACTGCATAGCGGCTTCGAGGGCCCTTACTCAGGAGATCACTCGAGGCCGACATGACGTGGCTCTCATCCAGGAACCCTGGCTGAGAAACGGTTCAGTAAACGGGCTTAGTATACCGGGCTATACGCTTTTTAGAGACTTAGTTGCAGTCAGAATTAGATATAAGAAGGAAGGCAGTGACAGGGACTTGGTTGTCTGTTCGGCTTACCTTCCTTACGATTCAAGAGACCCTCCTCCGTCTAAGGAAATGGGGGACCTTGTCGCATTCTGTAGGGATTCTGGACTCGACCTTGTGATTGGATGCGACAGTAATGCCCATCACGTTGCGTGGGGCAGCTCGAACACCAACAGACGGGGCGAAGACCTGATGGAGTTTCTTGGGGCATCGAACCTTGAGGTTCTGAATGTCGGTAACACGCCCACTTTCAGCAATAGTGTAAGAGAAGAGGTTATCGCCGTAACACTGAGCACGCTTAACTTAGCTCAGGACATCAGGGACTGGAAAGTGTCTCTAACACCCTCTCTATCGGATCACAGGTATATACTGTTCAAGACTGATGGAGAGATTCCGGATAAATATGCTCGGAATCCCAGGCATACTAGATGGGGGTCCTTTAGGGCAGACATTGACAGTAAGCTTGGAGCGGTCCCATACAGGCTTGGCAGGGGCTCTGACATAGAAGCAGCTGTCGAGTCTCTGAGCAGGGACTTGACGGCCGCATATGAGGAAAACTGCCCGTTACGCAAAGTACAAGGTAAGGGCAAGGCAACCTTCTGGACCAAAGATTTAGAGGATAGAAAACGAGCGGTGCACAAACTTCTTAGCAGAGTTAAGCACAGGAGAGGTTCTCCTCTATGGGAAGAATACAAAAAGGCATTGCAGGAGTACAAAAAGGAGATTAGAAGGGCCTCCAGAGAATCCTGGAGGCACTTCTGTCAGTCCATAAATGACATTCCTGCTACTGCAAGAATACACAGAGTCCTATGCAAAGACATTAAAGCAAGATTGGGATCTCTGCATGATCCCTCGGGGGGGAACACTA